TGTTGCTGCTGAGCTCCATGAGAGTTCATCGCTCAGGGTCGTAGCAGCGCCAATTGATGGGTTTGGAAGCAATGGCCGAATAGTTGAACAAACAGCCGGTTTATTCTTAAACAACGGTATACAATCTTCGGATTCACTCTAACTAACTAACTAGCTGGGTAATTTATAGCCTATATACCAAGGCTTCTAGTCAGGCGTAAAATGTTCTCGAACATTACAATACTACCAGTCCTAACCTGGAATGTTCTCGAGCATTATAATAGTACAGTCCTAACTTAAAATGTTCCGAACTTGCGAACCCAACACTTCTGAAATGTTTTAAAGCAGAATTTGAAATAGAATTTATCAAGGAATTTATATCGGCGCTTAGAAATCTTGTAAAATAGTAAAATATAGATATTTTCGCACCATCGGATGAACCATTGATAGCTGGTTTCAGAAATGTAAACCCTTTGCGTTAACGATGCTCGATATATGGAGTGTTAGACTCACTGGATCTGAATCAGGAAAATCCTCAGCAAATTGATCCGATTGAGCGCCAGGACTATCAAACATTAAGTGGCTGGGAGGTATAGCGAAAAACAAGGGAGGGTAGAAGCAAAGTAGTAATAGGGGTGAGACACTTAAAAAAAAAGTCGCGCAAAAATATTTTTATCAGCGCTGCAAACGTGACTGGCAGCATCTTCAGTTCTTGTAGCTGTAAACTCCTTATTGGCCAAGTCGCGAACTAATAAAGACCTGCGGTCACTTGATGATGACCAACCGCCGAACCATCGTACTCCTTCGTGTGCACTACTCAAATGACAGTTTTTCAAATGCCATTAACCCAAACGTGATGGGATCAAGCAAACCGCGAACTTGCGGTCAGCGGGCCAAATTAGATGCGACAAACCTTTCGATCATCCCGTAGATCTCATCCGGCTTGTGACTGGTTGCACGCACTTCTGCCACGATTACGTCCGAGTCGAGGCCTCGATTCAGGTCCTTCGGGTTACCTTTCATTCCCACTAGGCAATGCTCTTTGCCATGGTTCAACCAATGTCCAGTACGACCTAAAAATTGCATTCTAGCTTAGTACCAAACTTTTGCGGAGAGTGAAGTGAGTGTGCTAAGCTAAAAGGAATGCTGAGGAGCAGGGGCTTAGCGGTTAACAGCGGTGTGGATGATGTTTGAGAGAGTTACAAAGTGTGCTGTAATGTATGCAAGTGAGTTTTGAGGTGAGAAGGCGCTGGATTCTAAAGTGAAACGGCAGCTGCAGGCGACTCACAGATTAATGCTGTTGGGTATGGGACGGGGTTATAGGACTGGCTCAACTGAGGCCCTACAGGTGCTCTGTGGATCCACCCCGGTGTGGCTGGAGTGTTTCTGTATGTAGAAATGAACAGAAGGATTTGGAATGCATATGAGAGCAGGTCGGGTGAGAGTTTTCGCGTATAGGCGTTTGAAGTGACTCTTGGCGGTAGGTACACTTTGACGTCACTGAATGGATGCAAAGGTAGTGTGGGGATGTGATGGTAGATGAGGAATGGGGTGGAACAAGTGTGGCACATATGGAGACCGTGACCATTGTCAAGGCGCTTGAAATGCTACGATATCGGCCGGTGTACTATTCGCGAAAGGCCATCGGAAGTTTGGAGGATTATAACCATTAGATCATGACTACGATCACTTATTAGCTGTGCAGGCGGAGGGTAATATACACAATATGAAGGGGATGGGGTGAAGATAGGAATTCTCTGGAAGAGAATTGCAGACGATTTGGCGAGAAGGGCTCTCTGGGGTGTGCCAAAGGGTAGGGTGAAGATCCAGCTGGCTACTGGGTATGGCAACTTCTGGGCACAACTCTATAGATTTGGGTTGAGAAGCTGTGGGGAGTGTGGATGCGGCCATGGCTAGGCTCGGAGGGAACTTTGTCTCTCTCCGGATGGCACTTGAGAGGGGAAAACAGAATGAGAGATCAGGGTGTCCTGGACTCATTTGCGAGAGTTGCTGGATTAGGAGAGTACGGGCGCAGGGGTGCGCTAGAACCGCCCACAGAACAAAGTGAACGTAGATGTATGTACGTGGGCATCAAACCTCAGTATCGATTTTAGTTTTATTCTAGGGTATAGGGTAGGATTAAGGCATTCGCACGGGCAAGACGCTGAGCGATACGTGCCTGTGCCGGGACGCTCGCAGTTAGAGCCCTATGCCAAGAGAAATTTTCAGAACGCGTAATTTTGAGATTGAGTGATGTCAATTGGCCCGCAAGATCCTGCGACTTAACACCGTTAGATTTCTTTTTCTGGGGCTATGCGAAAGATCGTGTTTACGCCAACAATCTTCAAACTCTTGAGCAACTGAAAGCCAATATCCGTGGAGTTATGACCGGGATATTACCGGTAATGTGTCGAAGTCATTCAAAATTACCTCAAAAGGATTGAGGCCTGTAGGAGGTCCCGTTGGCGACATTTAAATGATACTGTTGTTCACGTATATGCAAGGTTTAATCTTTATATTGAATTAACATTAACATTTTCGTCTCCATCTGAATATTTTGTGTTTTTTTTACTTTACTACTATATACATATTACATACAGGGTGAATCCAAATTGGCGTCATTCCTTTTAAGGGGTAATAGGGGAAGGTACGAGAAAAATATTATACAAATTTTTTGGATAATTTCTAGAAGATACTAACAGTTGAAAATCGAATTTCAACTTTGTTATTAAGCATTATTTTGAAAGTGTTCCATGTTTAATTGGAAGCATATTGGAAAACTTTAACATTAAAAAAAAAAATTACGATCTTTGCTTCAAATTACGAAAATTTTTGATATTAAAAAAGTTTTGTGTTACAATTTTTTGATGAAAAGTCAAAGCGGCAATAATGTTTTTTATCATTAACAAAAAGTTACAGGTGCATAGCTCTGTCAATAATAACAATAATTTGTCAAACTGTGACTTACTTTGAATTTCCTTTTACGAATTTGCGGATATGCGATTAGCTCAGGGGAAATGCTACAGTAACATAGCAGAAGCTGAAAGAACTCACACCAACAAAGGGCAAGGAGAGTGGTTCCAAGATATTGAACGACAATAGATGTTCGAGTGCCAGACAGAGAGGAACAAGTATTGGTCATAATTGCAGAAGAGCCTTTCAGGGGCACACAGAACATTACACAACTGACACTTTCCCAGGCAACAAATAAATACCGGCTACATTCCTACCACGTATGTAAGATCACATTAAACCAATGAACTACTCAACACCGGTATAAATTGAGCAGGTATTTATGCAATGTTAATTAGGCAGATTACCTTGAAAAATATTGTTGCCGTTTTTCTAATATCGTTTTTCGAAAATTTCTCAGTTTTTAATAACAATTTTTTTTCTAATTTTTCTGCACTCCTAAAACACCGCCAGACAACACCTTCAGAGGAATGACGCCAATTTTGAATCACCCTGTATACTACTGCACTATCCACTCAAAGTCGGGCATGAGGCGACCCGACACCTCATGTAATTTTGCGTTCCGTTCAAGTTGAGCGATGAATGTGAATACTTCCATTTAAATAGCATGTTAGAGTAACTTATCCCATTTTGACTGAAGCATGCGAGGACGGTGAGCTGAGCTACAGTAAGAATCGACCTCTACGCTGTTTTGCTGATTTCCACCGACCCCAAAAAAACGCGCTGTGCTGTACAGCTTCGCTCGCGTTGCACGCGCCTCAATTTGCGCCAAGTCTCACAAAACCACCCCCACCATCCACTCTTAAATAAATCCTGCGTTATTCGTGCACATAGACGCTTACCAGTTCTGATGATTCTTTGCAACTGATTGGTCTTGACCCAGATGATTTCATCCACTCGTTCGTAGCCCCACAACTTGAGGCACTCCCTGCCCAGTTCCATAGCTCGTCCAGTAACCCACAAGAATATCAGTCCTGAAACAACGCTCGTTCACGCTGCATCGGGCAAATGGGAATTAGGCAATTCAGTTACCTTCGTCTTGCAGTTGCGGTATACCCAGTTGTCTCATTTCATCGTCGGACATTGTTCCATATGGGAGTTCCATGTGGATGTCCCAAGGCGGATCAGCCATTATCACTGCAAATTTTCCTAAAACTCGCAATGCCAATGGCTGATTGGGCTCTGGAAAGTTGCTTACCTAACACGGTCATATCCAGGTACCGCAGGTCGCATTGCACCCATTGCGGTGGATACAGTGTGGTGCTTTCCACTCGTCCAACTGCTGGTAGGTTGGGAATGACCAACTGATTGCCATGGATTTGGGCTGCCCTATCCACTTCGTAATGCACGTATTTACACGTGTCCATATGGAAGCAGGTATTGAGAAAAGAACAATCCCCTAGATAGATGCACCGGTGAGTAGAAGAGGACGATAAAGTGGCTCTTATGGTACTAACCCAACGACTCATCCGTGTGTTTTTGGATTATTTTCTTGAAGTGTAGCTTCTTGCAATCGGTGATTGAATTTTTTTCACAATCCAACCTGGTTCCATGTGGACAGAACTCCATAAGCTGTGTACCACCTGGGGTACACATGGGGATTAAGGGCTTGACATTGTGCTTAGAGGGTTTGGGGTACACGTTAGAGGTATTGAAACAGTAACTACACTGGAGTTTGCCCACAACTATCTTGTATAAAACTCATAAATTAATTAAAAGTGAAGGAATGCCGGTATTACAGTGCCTTCTTTTCCCGTATTTATTGGCCAATAAATTGGACAAATCATTAAATGTCACCCGGTATATACACCAGTTGTTCGCCAACGGTGCACTGTGCAATAGGTTCTAAAAATTATGCGCAAAACGGAATTGGACTTTCATCACATGCGTCAAACCACCTCAAGTTTTCCATTGATTTTATATGCGAAAAACGTGTTAATTTGTTGACCCTTCCGTTGAACCTAGATGTTCTTACGCACTTTGAAGTGCTGAATCGAAAGCTACCAACAGTTTTTCTCTAAGTATCGACAATAAGCAAAAACCCTTGGAAAACGTGAAAAAATGAGTGAAAAAAGTCAATAAAGTGGCCCGTAACGATGTAAAAACATTCAGTTTTCATTTGAGTTAAGTAGTTTTTTGTGCTTTGAGCTGCTGCATACAGTGGAGTGCTGATTTTTTGTCTACATATTTATGATTTTTTTTCAGGCTTTTTACGAACAATTTGAATGTTGAAATCGGCAAGTGCAGATTTCGAAATGCGCCAACCTCAGACACTCCCAGAACCGGTTTCGAGCCTATTAGCTCTCATTAGGTGGGTTCAGACTGAAATTAGCGATTCCGAAACCTGCACTTTATAATATCAATGTATACTTGTTGATTTTTTCTAAGCTTCAATTTTTCTGATTTATTCAAGATTTTTCGCCAGTTCGATTAGCTTTGAAAAGGAAGCAGTTTTCTTGTCGTAAGCGTGTGTTATAGGCATAAGTAATATTGTGTTGCATGATGCTTTTGAGTAAATGCTGCTCTGTGAGTTAAGGAGCTGTAACTCATCTCACTGCGCTGCACTTCGAATTACGCTTTGCATGTAACCCAGAGCCGGATTAAAGCTTTACGAGGCCCGGGACTAGAATTTTCCCACCAGAAAAAATCATCACATTTTTAATGGGTAAAGTTTATACAGTTTGGAGACATTTTGTTTAATGCGCTGGTGGGTAACTGCGCCGGTGCATTGAGTTGGCGCACCAAGCCATTTTGCCAGCACTGCGCCAGTTTTTTTAAATTCACTGAGTTACCCATGCCTAGTGGTGTGTTATGTACGTTTGCTTTATGATTTTTTGTAAGGGTTTTTTACGACCCATTTGAAAATTTTTGGATCATATAGCTCATATAGCACAATCAGCGCTATTTTCAATAAAAATTAAAAGTCTTCTTCATTATCGACACTTTGCTTCGTTCTTATTCAATTGTATTTTCCCCATATTCCCCAGTCATTCCTTGCTTAAAATCACTGCAGATTTGCATCAAACTTAACTTTGAATTAATATTTTTGCTTTGCCATTTCTTGTGGAATCTCAAGAATTCATTAATTCTTGTTGTCTTATTTTTTTCTTTTTTTAATTTTTCTTTTTTCTTAGATTTTGGCCTAAAAACGAAGTGAGTTTGATTCGATCAAAAATACATTTAATTTACTTTCATTTTCATATTTTCATTCAATCTGATTATGTATTGGTTGGCCACAAATCACGATATATTGGAAAATATTTCCTTGAATAGTTCACAATACACAGTTCGCTTCGTCCTATTTTCCTTATATCCTTCTATGTGTGCTTTATGGGATCTCAGGCATGGCAAGCGCATTTTTCTTTGGCACCACCACACCACTGTGACCACCTTAAGCAATTAATAATAGATTTAAAAGCAGCGTTTTTAACACAAAAGCTTACCCAAGATGCGACAAAACTGCAGTTGATGACGTTCGTCGTTCGTGACATGAACATACGTGCGTACGTATCCTTTTATAAAAATTCGTTGTAGTTCGTCGTTTCCATACCGTCGGCAATTAACCAAATTTTATTTCGCCGGCGCGCTGTCGCTTGATGGCGCGCTGTCGCCAATGAGAGAACGAGTTTCGTATCACGTAAGTGACTGACAGTGATATTTCTCAAAACGAGGCCGTGTTTTATTTAATGATTCAACAAGATGGCTGATCACGTTATTTTCGTTGATGATTCAGACTTTAGCAGCTTGTTATTACAACAAATTATGAATACTTGTACAATTTAGGGCACAGAAAATGTACAAAAGCCCAGTAGAAACAAACGCGTTGCGTTTGTTAACGGCTGAACTAGCGACCGCGATAAATCGCGACATCTTTTATGATGGTGAAATATAAATTCAAACAAGATACTAACGACCCTTTTTTCAATAGCAAATATGAAGATAAATTGAACGTAAAAGCTTGCGTCTAGATCTAGACAAATTCGATCAAAAAAAATTAAATTAAGTGTGTATTATTGGGTAAACACAACACACAACATAACCAACCTGACGAATAAAATTGCAACGTCGGCCACTGCGAACTGCACAATTAAAGGCGGATTTATAAACTCGCGCTTGTAGCAAATTTGTAGCATTGTGCCGTTGTCCAATAGAAATCCGTCGTTGGCAGCACGTGTTCGAAATGCGTTTGAATGTAATGTAATAATTCGCGGCTAAACAAAAAACAAAGGAGTTTTTTGTTCCATCTTGATTTTCTTGTTAGTTTGGGTTAGTTTGAGGACAAAGTTGCATCTTTTACCATTTTTAGTAGACACTTGACCCTATAGATATGGAAAGTTTCAGAAAAATTCATCCGGAACCTGATTTTCGTCGCCTTGTGACTGTAAATTTGACTCACAAAATTGATGTTGTAAGTCACTTGCGCTCGCTTACTTAAAAATTCGCATCTCTCAAACTAGAGGACGCTAGTTCTAGAGACTAGAGGACGCGAGGTCAAAGTTTCGCGCTTAGAACATAGGTGGCGACAAAATCTTGGTGTTGTGTGCCGATATGTAAGTACTCGTGATACAATGAATACTAGGTAGGATATTGCGTCGATTTGCATGACGTCAATGGAAGTCACTGCGTGTCGTGCTTTTTTTCTGTCTGCTAAATGTGATTAAATATAGCTTAATTAATCTCTGTCACATTTAATTATTTTTTTATAAATCTTTGTTATAATTACAAAATGCTGTGCAGCAGGTTTTAAACTTGAAAATGAAATAACAAAAAAATTATTATTTTGTAGACCAGCACAGTTGACAGATGTGCAATAAAGTATAGCGTTTGTTTTTGGCAAATACTCTAAAAGTTCGAATTGCAAATTCGTCTCATGTCTCATAATCATCATTTTTGAAATGCTGAGAGCACATTCTGGCGGAAGCAACATTAATGGTGTCTGCACGACAACAAGCATTCTCACGGCTTGCTTAAAATACTGTCTTTTGAAAATCTATGAAACTTTATTTCGGAGATTTAACTCTCGAATTACTAATGCAACCGTAAACTGCATACTGCATTTTTTATATTTCTGAACACTTTCCAACTGCCAAAGGCAAAATTCTCAATTGTTTTTCTACAAGATTCCCAAACATTCCCAAACGCATTCGCTCCATGATACAATTAATTCATTCAATGATACAAAATGGATTCATTGAATGATACAATTAATTCATTGTTTCGTTTGGCTCTACCCGATTTCACGAATGACACTCTGGCAACACAACAAGCTAAAACGCTGAAAAAAGTCAAACCGAAACCAAACCGAGCTGAAAAAAACCAAGCTGTTTCGGCAGTACTGCCGAAACGGTTCCTGAAAATTCACCCATGTCTACCATGTCTGAGTTACCCATGTCTAATTATTGGCATTACTGTTGCAGATGAGGGAACATTTAATTGCATTTTACAGCTAATTTGGCTCTACTGAAGGCAAAATGTAGGATTTACTCCTATTAGACCGTATTAAAATATGCAATACTTTTATGCTAAATCTTTATTTTGCATAAATATTCGGTTTAAAAGCAAATAAATAATAAAACTTGACTACTGTGACATGCTCACTTCGAATGCATTAAGTACAAATACAAATTTTAGCCTATTCGAGTTTTTTAACGATAAAACTAACGAATAATATTGGAAACTTATTGGTTTATGATTTAAATTAAAGATATCAGATTGGCCTCCCGCAATTATAATTTTTGCCGAATAAAATTGCTGTGACCGAATAAAATTGATGTTGATCTTTACGGAAGGATTTGTATTCATTAATTTAAAAAATGTCCTTTTTATGAAATTTTCTGCGCTTGTAGAGCTTTAGACTCTTACGGAGGTTTAACTTTTACTTACATGCGATACATCTTTGCAAAATAAGAAAATATAGACCTGTAAGACCTGCTTGGCAGGTGTAGTCCTCGGTAATGAACAATAGCGACTGGCAAAAACGTGTGATCGTCATACTTGACAATGACCGTTTGCTCGCCGTTTTTTGAAGTGTAGCACATTTTCTTCGGAATGTTCATTGTCGGGCTGCCTATCTCGAATCTACGTCCCACCAGTACCTTTGCTATTACCATTACCTTGTCTTGACGCCTCTTATTGTCACGATGGTAGTGCGTGGCGTAGAAGGACTGTGTGGCGAATGAAATTCCACGACCAAACTTGTGCGTTTTTATCTGAAACCACAATTGACACAAAAATCTTCTCAGAAAACGGAGATATTTGCCCAAGCAATCGAATGTGAGTGAATTTAAAACACAAAAATCGGGACATTTTAGAACTGGAATTTAGTTTATTTTTTTTATTAGTTGAGTCTTCAAAGTTGTAGAATTTATCATAGAATTGCTCAACATTAGATTTCACAGTTTGGTTCTTACTTAACTAATGCTTGAAGCTCTCGGGGGAGCCTGCAACCTCTAGAGAGCGTATCCCCGGGTAGCGGATAGGGGAAAACTTCCCAGGGATGGGTAGTAAGAGGGAAATCAAATACCTCCCGCGGATCAACAGGTTTAGTGGGTGTTTGACGCCAGAGGAGCGACCCACAACAGCGTCTGACTCAGATTGGGCGGCTGAAACAAGAACTGGCCAACACGCTCGGCAAGCGTGGCCTTTGAATGCCAAAACCTTCCAAATCCATGTCATGCCGAGTTTTGAAATCACATTACTCCAGGCGAGTAGAGTGAGTGAGTCAGAATCTCGCCCTGATCAGTCAGTCCCCCTCGTGAATTCTGGGGCAGGCAAAACCTCAATATGCAGAAACAAAGATGTTGTCCCACAAAAAAATGTAATCCGGTGCGCAACATACAACATCAAAACAAGGAGAACAGCTAAACATCTCGAAATTCTGGAGAGAGAGCTACAAAATGTGGACTCTCATCTTGGTGTCGTGGCGATCCTAATCGACAAAAAAAAACTAAAACACCTAGTTACCAGGATGGAAGCTGTGTCTGATCCAAGAAAACCAGCAAAAGATCCTCCTTTACAAATAATTCAAACGTATGCTCCGCCAGGCTCTGCAGAAGACCATGAAGCCGCACATTTTCATGAGGACATAACAGCAGCTCAACGATTGAGAAACGCACAATTCTCTATAATTGATAGACAAGAATTTGTTGGCTACTTCGTTGATCATTAAATACTTTTAGGCCGTTCCCCAGTCGCTGATTTCATGCCAAACGGAGCTGACGAGAGCTAATAGGCTCGAAACCGGTCCTGGGGGGCTTGAGGTTGGCCAACCTCGAGACTTGCACTATCTTACATGATCCCTATAAACCTGGCATTCGTCGACTATGAAAAGACTTTCGCCTCGGTTGAAACTTGGGCGATCTTGAGAGCAGTGGACAACGCAAGAATAGATACGAGATACACGAAACTTATGGACAGTATAAAAACGCGACAAGTGGTCATTGATCAAGACATGTCGACAGATAAAATCAGACTGGGAAAAGGGGTCAAGTCAAGGAGACACCATTTGACAAAAGCAATTTACTGATGGAAGACACTTTTAAGAATCTACTAAGGTATAAATATAGATGGAGTCCTCCCAAGTCACCTGCGTTTCGCTGATGATATCGCGGTTATTGGTGGCGACGCCCTAAGGTCCATGTTAGAAGAACTATAAGCAGATTGGACTAAAAATGAATTTAGGGATGACAAAAATAAGGACCAATGAAGATGTTGGGGGAGAAGGGAAGGCTCTTGAGATTGTAGACGAATATGGAAATTGAAGCCCCACCATCAGGCTGGGAAAACAAAATCAAGCAGCGAAAATATGTGGAAGGATGGGATTGAGCCCAGATGATCCCATTGACCTTAAAAGGAAAGTTCATGATTCCTGAACTCTGCCAGTAACAACTTATGATATGGAAACCGTAACTCTCACGGAGAAAAGTGAAGATTGGCTCAGAATAACACAAAGGGCGATGGAGCGTGCCATGTTGCCAAATGAACAAAGAGAGTTGGATTGGCGCTCAAGAAAATCGAAGAGCAGTATGGGAAGGCACCCATAGTGATGGCGGGATGACTTCCAACGGATAGTAGGAAGGGGATGCAGACTGCCCGAAACAGACAAGCATGGAGATTATTGGAAAAGGCCTACATTCAGGAGTGGATGAACATAGGCTGAGAAGAAGCGAAGAATACTTGATAGCCACTTTCTTGCTCTCTGACTTCCACAATCGGGTGTAGGCATGAGTAGCTGAGGAAATTTTTATGGGTTGGCGCAGTGTAGCGGAACCGCTTAGCCAACACAATGCAACGGCGCAGTAACTCACCGGCGCATTTTATGATGCAGAACACTCACAATATCATAAATGTGAAGAGAGATAACAGAGAACCTTGTGTTACGTGATGTGTAGTGGAGTCGTACGTCATGTGCATTGCCTAATCGGATGTTCCTATGCCGCCCTTTCGATCTCTTCAATAATTAATCCATATTCTATAGTGTTGTCCATTTTGATCATCGGTTTGAAGAGCACCATTAAAAAACTAACCACGAATGTGCGTTTGTTAGCAAATATCTGTCTGGATGCATGCTTATAGTTTAAGTTAGTAAGTACTTAAAAAAATCTGGGACTCCTCAAGCTGGGCATGAGTAACACTGCGTTGAGTCGCGCTTTTGAGTTGATGCCGATTTGTGCGTTATAACTCATCGCGTCTCACTGCCCAGCACCTTGAATAACGCTTAACATTCCACCTCACGATGACAGAATTAGATTGATGATAAATTATGAAAATGGACTGATTAGATTCAGTTGAGCTCTTTTGGTTATCGACATTTTTGCCAATTTTTTTAAAACTATATTTTCACGATTCTCTGGAAAACTATGAAAGTTGGATAAGGATCGTTGGATAGTGCTCGAATAACTTTTTTCCAGGGGAAACTTCGTTTTAAAAAAAAATATAATGTAAAATTTCGAAAAAATCGTAAGGGTTTCGTTACGATTTTTTAAGCTTTAAAATTCGACGAAATCGATTGCAACAGGATAAA